CACAGCTGAATCTAAGACTTTTTGAATCTTCAAAATTTATTCTTTATTGATAATATTTAATAAGCTTTATTTAATGAAAAAGCAAGAAACATCAGTAACAGCAGTGGCGTAAAAACAGCAGTGCCAACAACAATAACAATAAAAAGCAATTTGTCAGCAACAAAAGGAATCAAACAAGAACGCTTCAGCGTTTGTCTTATCTCTTCCTATCCTGTACAGTATTTTTTAGCTTTTTTTTTTACTATCGAATTAGCAATAAAAACGAAGAGGATTTTAGTGGTAGTAACTTGTCGAATTTACCATAGATACTGTCTTTATTGAAGGTATTAAAAGCCACATTCATCTCTTTTTTTTTTTACAATATAATTTTTCCTCTTTGTCAAATCTTCATCTTTCTGTCTTTGAAGACAGTAAAGCACATAAGAAGAAGCTATCAACAGTTAGTACTCTTCAGTACTCATAACTGTTTTATTGATGACTACATCAATAGCACTAATGATTTGAGAGCAATCAGTTCATAACTTGCTGTTTTCCACAACTAATCACAACACCAGTTGTTCGGCACTAATCTAAACCGTCAAGGCTTTTTGAATACTTCAGTTAAAATCATTTAATTTATACTAAACCAAAAATCTTTGAAAATTTTCAACTTAGCTGTTCAGTTTTCATCATAATACAAGTGATCAATTAACATTTTTAGCAAAATACCTCTACATTTTCGCTGTTTTCTCTACTTGTCAGTGTATCATCTTAAAGCAAGGAAGCTTCAAAAAGCAAATAATTAAAAAATGTGAAATAAAGTAGAAAGATAGAAGAAAAGCAGAAAAAAATAAAAGATAAAACAAAAACGAACCAAAACTGAAAGAGATAGGAAACAATTTACGGTGGGAAAGTTTCATGTGTTTTACCATCAATTTTATTGTTTGCTTTTTTTTTCATGTATTAAGTGTTGTGTCAAATTTATTCTGTTTGTTTTTTTTTTCAAATGAAAAAAAGTAAAGAAGAAATAGAGAAATACAAAAAAAAAGCAAATAAATAAATAAGGACTTTAAAAAGGTTTAGTTTCAGAAAAAAAGAAATGAAAAAAGCTAATAGATAAAAAAAAAGAAGGAAAAACGAAAAGGAACAGAGACCCAATCAGAATGTAATTATTACTCAACACAATACTGCCAATAATAATAGCAATAATATAAATAATAGTAATAGTAATAGAAATATTAATAGTAATAATAATAGTAATACTAACTAATACTTTTCTTCTTTCTCTCAACAACTTTTTATTTATACTTTTTTGTGACTGTGGTAATGGTTTAGCATCGTCCCCCCTCCCCCCCTTCCCCCCTCAAAAAAAAGAACTAAAGTTTTATGCAGTTTCTTTTCTCTCATAATAAAAGGTTAGTTTACCAATTAATAGTTCGTAAAGTTAATAAAAAAAATTCGGAAAGAAATAGGAAAAAATTTCTTATTAATTCTTAATCTAAAATACACTAATTTATTTTATTTCTTTCTTTTTTTTTTTGTTGACTTTCTTTAAAATTTGTTCCAAAGTATCGTTTTTCGATGTGATATTTTGTGAGTATTGAATTTGGCTTTGTGGTCGATCGTTCTTCCTGGTCTACGGAAAACTGTTATGTGAAAACAACTGGTAAAAAGAGACAATGAAATGTTGATATGTTAGGATGCAAGTGATAGTCAAATACAAATTATACCACTGTTTACCTGGATTAAATATTAGTATAATGTCTGACTGTCAAAATTTCTGGTATAAATCTGTTTAGTATCCGGCAGCTCGAAATATTTTGAAGAAGATTGATATTATACGGAAAAATAAGCGACTTCTTTTCCCTGTTTTATATGCTTTCACTAACCGTTCTTATAGCCCCCAAATAAATGCCTCTTCTTCATTGTCATTTTCTGCAGATTTTTTTTTTTTGCAAAACCACCTTTTCTGCTTTTTTTCAACCAGAATAGTTGCCGTCTGGAACATTGGCAAAAGCAATTATAAAGACTTTCAAACTATGCAATAAATAAATTGTTGTTTGCTATCGTTTCCTGTTGCACTCTTTTTTTTAATGGTCATTTGACTTACTAGAAAAAAGAAATAGCAGAAATACCGTTTTGAAATCAAAGAGTAAAATTTTAAGCTGTTCTGAAACAAAATTGTTACAGATATAGCTTCCCGATATAGTGTAAACAGGTTGGTTGACAGTTTATCTGCGTGGACATATGTCTACCAAACGATTACAATACGTCAAAATAGCTTTGCAGTTCTCATTTTTTATGTAATTCTTTTTTTTTACTGATTCAAATTATAGAGGTCATACATTACAGCTTACTCGATAATTTTATATTATTGTTTATTCAAGTTTTTTTTCTTCTTCACGACGTACAAAGTTTAAAAAAAGATGGAAGAACAACGGCGTCATCTGACGAAGAAACTGTAAAAAAAAAAATAAACATACACACATACAGAAAAAAGTGGAAGAAAGAAAGAAGAAGAAAAAACAAGAAAAAGTAATTAAACCGGTAAAAACAAAATTGAAAAACAAAAATTAGAAAAAAAATCAAATATTTGAAAAAAATTTTTTTTTCAGAAAAAGAAAAAAAAGTTTTTTTAACAGTCAAAAACATATACAAACTGTTTTGTTCTTAACTTTTGTGAATACTGTATTTCTAAAACTAAATCTGCTCAAGTTTTTTTTGTTGCCCACTTTCTTTCTTCTTCATTATCGTCAAACTTTGATTTTGGATAAAATATTTGGTGCTTGTTGGCGTTATTGTTGTTGCTGTAACGATGATAAGAATTCTTAATGACGTTTGATACAGATTCCATCATTCCACTTTCATAAGCCATCATTTACCGCCGCTGCGGCACTCATCCGATAGTATTCATTACACATCACTTCCGGATCGGCATCCATTTGGATACGAATTGGATGCGTTCCGCAGAGCACCGTCCGGAATGATGGTTGATACAGATCTTCAGGTTTACGAAAACGTACAAAATCTGAAACTAAAATTACTTTCGAAAGTAACTCCATCCGCTGTTCAAATTGTGTAATGCTACTTATTTTACATGCAATCCATCACCAATATGTACGTCAGACTACAACTGATTACTGAACTTTTCAGATTTGCTGAACTTTGATGCTTAAAAAAAAAACAATGGTACAGAAGTGCATGCATAAAAACAAAGAAATTTGCTTATTTGGCACATTCTTTTTTTTTCTTTATTTTTCGCTACAATTGGTGAAAAAGTGCTCTTATCACGAGGCAAAACCACAAAATAGGGTTTCATACAAAACTACTGCAAGCAAAATGACCCCGACAAACACTGTTACAATGGAATGGCAAACGTATTTGTACATCAGTAAACACTAACGATGCTACAGGAAAACTACAAAATATTTTACGTCAAAAAACGAAACAAGAAGGGGAAAAAAAAACAAATATGAACTGCAAGGAAGTGCTTGTGAACAAACTAATTTTACCAATATGATAAACAAAAACTGGAAAAAATAGAGCCACTTTTTTCTTGTTGCTTAAAAAAACTGATTTATGGGCAGCTTTTTACAGGTCAAAATTTTAGTATGGTAATAAATGCTAATTAGTGATATGGCTCAATAAAAAAAAGAAAAAGAAAGAACTTTTTTTGATTACAATATAAAAAGTTAAAAAAATTTGTTGAATAAATTTAGTTTTTTTGCTTTAATAAAGTAATTAAAATTTTTTTTGCTTTTTTGAATAACAGATAAAGAGGAGGCAGTCAACTTTGAGGTTGGTAAAAATTTGAAAAATTTTTGATCTGATAGCAAAAAAGTGAAAATAATAGATATTCAAAAAAATTTCTTTTTTTGACTAAAGTATCAAAGCAATGGTATTCAGCTGCCCAAATTTTTGTTGCTTATCTGTTTAGAACTTTCTTTTTTTTCCATTTGCTCAGTCTTCTACCATCTTCCTTTGTTAGCTCTATTAGTTGCCTTTTTCTTCAGGTTGGAGTTACTCATACTTTTTGTTGACTTTTTGATGACACATTATCATAGCTACAAATTTTTTCTTTAGTTATAATAATTAAGCAAAAAAAATTTCAAAGATTTATTTGTCGTAAGTTTGATTTGTAAACTTTTTATTTTAATCAAACAAACTCGGGGTCTTTTTTCAGATCTCGGCGTAGTAAGCAGTTCAAAAAAAGTTCACAAAATTTAAAATTTTAAGAATTGTTTTCTTCAAAAACAATTAAGCAGCTTTTTTGTTTGGTTTTACTAAATTTTCTTTTTTTTTTTTTTTTT